AACAAATGTCATCAATGTCAAACAAAAAAAAACAGAGATCAACAACAAAAGCAAACCGTAGGCAGAATTAATTCCTAATCATCGGCTAGAGCTTTCGCGATTCGCAATTGTGACAACGCTCTCGAAGTGCTTGAGCGTTTCCCGGCTTCTCGATCCCATTCCCAAAGCATGAATGAATTTTGCCTGCTTTCAATATCGAATGTGTCTTGGCCTATAAAGAGTACATAAATACAGAGGCAGCAATAAAAATAAAGCTATCTCCAACTCCGAAAACATTTGCACGATTATCGACAGAAATGAATTACAAAAAAAACCGAGAATTTACATCATAAGCTGCATACAAAAAGAAGTAGCACTCTTAGCACCACTCCGCTTGTATATTATGACGCTTTACAGCCAGTTCATTCGCTGTCTAATCACCATAAGGCCAAAAATAGCAGCCCATAATTCTGGCTAGCGAGCAGCAAGTGAGAAATTTAATGTTATGAATTTTCTGAATACTCAATTTGCGATGACACCTGGCCGCCAACACTGTCATAAGCAACCCTATCCACATGCGATAAATGTACTTAGTTGCTACAACCAAGTTATGTGCATCTAGGGAATAGAGATTTAATAGATATGGATATCATACCCTCATCCTCCCTTTCAAAACATATTCAGATCGAATCTTATAAGTGGGTACTGAAGAAAACTATGAGTTCAAATAGATTTTGCTACACAATATTACACAATCCCAACATTATGTATGTAGGCAACAGCAACACCCCATTTCGAATCAAGCACTATGGTGGTGTACTCGGCGTTGCCAATAACTTTTTAGGATGCACCACGCCCGGCACTTTTGAAGATGGTAGGGTGCATGGGGTGGGCGGAGAAAGAATAACTAAAATTCGAGTAACGGCTTTGAAGAAAATAGAGACCGAAAAAAATGGGAAATCACAACAAAGCATTCTACAGTTGCAGATCCAGAACAGCAGAATGGTCTTTTGCTTTAGCGTATTCTGACTGTGAGTGAAAAGTTTTGATGCACTGAGTTTTTGGTAATGCATTAATATAATATTTGTCAATTAACTCACCTCTTTTGTTCAAAACTAGCATCTCATAACCAGGGGGAAGACAAAGTGTCGCACCTTCGAGACCACGACCACGAAAAGCTGCTTTTTTCTTACCATCAATGATTTCCTCAGTGACGAAATACCTGGAAAGAGGATGGAGAGTTGTCCTTTATTTAAAAAATGAGAAATATTTTAATAAAACATACCCAGATACAGGAGCTGGCCCATCGTAATGAAGTTTACATGGTAGTGAGTGAATCGGCTTGTTTGTGGAACCCCCAGCTCCTTTGGAAATAGAGCAAACTGGGTTGGCCATATCTGCGAGCACACAAAGGATGGAAATTGTGTAAAAGAAGCGAAGTCAGGTTAGAAAAAAAATAGAGTTTTGAAACAACACACTCGAAAAACTCGTGCCAAAAGTCGAGAAACACGAACAATATTTGTAGGTTTAGGATCAAAATAGAAAGTATGTACAGCAGCTAACTGTTTGTCTTTCAACAATCCAATAAAGAAAATAGTGCGAGCGATTGCGGTGATCACTCCCATGTTTATCTATTATACTTCTCCATACATGAGTGAAAAACAAAAACATCAACAAAAAACAACAAAACAACTCAATCAACTCCATATAATGTTACTACAATTGAATCCACGTAACAATCTTCAACAACTATACACTGGTCGTCTCATTTTGTGGCGGGCCTTCCATATTTTTATCATACTTCACTCCGTTAGCTTTCAACCGTTGCCGCAGGTTCCGTAATCCTTTACGAGATACTTTCTTTTTAATCACCTTCAGGGGTAGATCAGTGAGCGATTCATGTGATTTTTCACAATCTAAATTTTGATTGAGTATAGTTAAATACTGGAAGCAAGCAAAGCATGAAAGCAGACAGCAGGTATAGATTGAAAATTTTCACGGGTAAGTACACACTGACACACCTCCATTCACAAGGTCCGTTGATTGATCGAAATCTGCTCTCGTTATCACCACGGTGCCGCAAATCTGTTTGTCTGAAATTTGTTCATTGGTAACGATTTGAAAGATTAGCATGCAAGGCTCCAAAAATTATCGGCCTCCTTTTCCAGAGAAAATTTCCTGTACTCGGATTTTCCATCCATAATAAATTTTACGCGACGTTGCTTCGCCGCTGTAGGTGTCGCAGTCCGCGACTGCAAATCGCAACAGCACTGTCGCGATGGCAAAGTGCAATCAGGAGCGGAGCGTTACGTTTCTGATTCGTATGTTTTGCATTACCGCTGTCGCGATCGTGCAATCGCATCAGCAAACACGGAGTCTGACGGCTGCCTGAGAACGCTCACAACGAGATGGAGAAAACGACTACATTATTAAAGCGCACTACTACTTTTTTTCTCGGTGATACAAAATATTAAAGTAATTCTTTACGAAAGTTGCAAAAAGTTGCAAAATCTTTGAAGCCTGACCCCATGGCTTCACTTGGCAATTCTACAGCATTAGTTAGGCCCATAAGTGCGGGCCAACGCGCTGCTTACATAAGACGTACTTCTTGATTTATTCTAAAAACTATATTGGTGAGGAGAAACTTAGGAAAAGAGGAAGGCCCGAGAAAACAAGCGATTCAAGTAGCAAAACAAGCGATTCAAGTCCCACCTTCCCACCGCTATCCCTCTATAAAAAAGAAAGAAAATCACGAAGAAACAACTAGTTTTTTCACTTACCTACACCTTTGAATCTAGATTTTTCTGAGGAGTGAATGATTTCAGCCGGTATGTGGAACATTTGGAATGGAGAATCAACGGCACGAATCGTAAAAGCCTTGTCATCTGCAGATAACTTATTTGATCATTTGAAAAAGAAAAACCGTTAGATTCCATAAAAAACGCAACAGTAATGTAAAAATCTCACTTATGGCAATTCTCTTCTCTCGAGAAGAACAGGAATCGACAGGAATGTGGGCGTCGGAGAGGTCTTCCGGAGAAAGCTGAAATAATACGTGAACAAATAGTGCTTTGTTGATATAGGATGGAAACATTGATTTTTGGTGATTCCAGCGCAATCAGATTTTGGAATAATTGTAAACCCTTCACTACAGAAGGTTTCCTTTACAATTTTTCAATCATTTTTGGAAAATGTTTGATCAATCCTTAAAAAAGGAGTTAATTTCTTGAGCCTAAGCCAATACAATAATTAGGGTAGGGTTATACTTTGCAGTCAAATTGCAGTGCGAGTTTAGAGTAGATACGTATCAATCATGCTATCACACGATCGGTAGGATCGGTCTACTCACTCGTCTAGCCTCGAACTGCAAACCGAACTGCCAAGTATGACCCGTTCCTTAGTCTGCAATCCCTATAAATGAGCCTGCTTCGTACCAATGTCGCTAGCACCACCTCCTGCTTCAATTTGACAAGGTCGACCATAATAATATCGGCTCGCAGTCACATTCGCACTATGGCAAGTATTTGGCGAAAGTCAAGTAATCACACGCGATACTAGAGAAGACTAAATGTTGAAAAGCCCCTGCTGATTCAAAAAGCACAAGGAGGCAGTAAAGGCGACGCTTTTGGTATCCCTGAGACGGGACGGTATGGTGCAATTACAGGTGAGCAAACACGATACATGCCAGATTGATTTATGCAGACTTCGCAATGGCACTTGAAGAATATAGCCGTGGGCTAACAAGGGAGCTTTGTGATAAGTCCCACCCTTGAGTGAGCATTTTCAAAAAAATGCCGAGGCTTATCGAGAGTCGTATATGGCAACATTTAGGCTGGTGTCAGAGTCCGCGATCCGTCGCAGGTTTCG